GCCCCCAAGTGGCCAGAACTCAGGCGCACGAGCGTCATGGGAGTCTCGGCCCTCGATCGAATCTCAGCCGGGCTAACCCTGGCTAGATCCCTCGCGAATGGGATACTAGGATCCCGGTTGAACTATCTAGCTAAACAACCACCAAATCTCATGACCATACCCACGAAGGGTCCGACCTCAGCGAAGAAGAAATCACCATCTTCAGGGAACCCCGTGAGCAACAATAGAGGACCAGGGCTCTCAGAATTCTCTCTTTCGGAAAACCCGCCAAAGGAGTATCCAACTCCTCCACAGGCTCGGGGGCTACACCCACCGGGTGCGCTCGCGCACACCCTCTGGCAAGTCAAAAAATCCCCAAGGCAATTATACTCGAATCACCCGGGGGCTCGGGGGCTACTATTGGGGACCAATATTAGGGTACCCGAAGAGGAGGAGCTAATGACCGACAAACATTGATTCATCCATGCGGTCGAGAGCACGACTACACCGCTTGCGGGTCACTCCTCGTCCGTCCACCGAGACTATGGGACCCACCTCAAGCTAACTCCCGAGGGCTGACTCTGCCTCGCTCGATGTCTGAGGGAAGACTCCATCTCGCCCGACCCCCGAGGGTGGGCTCCGCCTTGCCCAACGTTTGGGGGCTGGCTCTGCCTCGCTCGACGTCCGAGGGCTAGCTCCGCCTCACCCGATGACCGGGGGCTGGCTCCGCCTCGCCCGACGTTCGGGGGCTGGCTTCGCTTCGCTCGATGTCCGAGGGCTGGCTCCGCCTCGCCCGACATCTGAGGGTAGACTCTGCCTCACCCGATGTCTAAGGGTAGACTCGGTCTCACTCGACCCCTGAGGGCGGGCTCCTCCTCACCCGACATCTGGGGTTTGGCCCCGCCTCGCCCAACGTCTAAGGGCTGGCTCCGCCTTGGCTGATGTCTGGGGGCTGGCTCTGCCTCGCTCGATGTTTGGGGGCTGGCTCGACCTCGCCTGACGTCTACACGCTGCTCCTTCATAACTACGCACGCAGATAAGGCAGGGCGCTCAAGTCAACCACAATACCAAGGACCATACCTTGCACGCCTGTAGGAAAGTATCGTCAGGATATGACATGATGGACGCTTTAAGCCCTTTTAGGCATGTCAGAGCCCGAACAGTGTTGTAGGCGCCGACATTTGTCTTACAGTGTTGTGGGCACCGCCATCTACCCTCGGGCGCAGATCCTGATGGAAGCATACGACAACCACTACGGTCCAGGAGGAAACTCGCATCATCTACAGTAATGGACGTGCGGTCACTGAGCAGGGTCGTGGATCAGCACCCTGGTCCGTCGCGTTGCCTGCCGGGGCAGGATGGGACGTGACCACTTGCTGACAAGACCAAAACATGGCATCGTCAGCGGACATACACCCAGCATGGAGCTATCCCTTGCACCATCTGCCGTGTCAGCGGGGCTCTCTTAGAGGAAAAGGAAGACCCGACATCTTTGAAGGACCTCCTTTGCCTCTGTTTTTTCATCTTTCTCCCATCTGTAATTCCTACTTCCCCTTGGTCTATAAAAGGGAAGGTAGGGCACCCCACTAAGGGGACGAATAGATTGAACACATCACGCATCACATCACACATAGCCGAGCAGCAACCAAGCTCTCAGCACCCATTTGACCTTTTCATCAGAGACTTGGGACTTGTCCCTCTCTCGTCCATTTGTAACCCCTACGATGAACTTTTCGGTGCAAATAACATGAGCATCAGCCACAAACTGGATGTAGGGACATTCCGCCTGAACCAGTATAAACCTTGTGTCTTTTTAGCACACCATCCGGGCCAGACGCGCAATAACACAAATTTACTCGTTGGTGCTTAATCGAAAGACCGACACTTCTCCTTGGAGTTGTCCTGACACGTACAACACCTTCTGCTGGTCATCACATTGCGCTATGTTGAGTTGCTTTTCCACTGTTACACCCGATTTTAAGGATAAAATGGGATGCAAAATCTTATGTGCGTCCAGAGATCAGTCACACACATAAACCGACAAATTATGAATTGTATCATCACAAGTGTTTATTACATCGTGAATAATAAGATAGAGTCTTCACATAAATATAGCGGAAGTATAAAGAAAATATCTCTTGCGGAAGCTCCATATCACAGGGACGTCAACTAGTTAACCACAAGTCTAGTAATCCTTGGAAAAGTCATCATTACCATAGCCATCTGTTACCCATCCGGGATTTTTATCCAAATAATGAAAATAAACAAGCATAAGTACATGTCGTACTCAACAAGTGTAACATGGGGTTCATGAGGCTCAAAAGGCTTGACATATGTTTAATAGCATTCAACTTTTAGTTGTCACAATTTTAGCATAAGAGTAGCAACAAATTATTTCAATCCCAAAATAAAACACATGATCAATGTAAACATGAATAATGAATAGCATAAACAAATAATTCTTAGTGATCGTCTATTCCGTAAATGTTCCAAAGCCACTCGTGACCGTCCGCACGGCTGATATACCAGTTTTACACTCTACAGAGGTTGTACACTTTCACTGTGAGTCGTGATACCTATATGCCCGGGTTAATTACTCCCAAAACACTTCCAAGGTGAGCAGTCAGGGGTCACTATGAAGCCTTTCAAAGGTACATCTAACAAGTTAGGGCCATTAGATTCACTCGGCAAACAAATATAGGAACTCCCCTGTCAAATGGCACAATTCCATCGCGGCTATACACATAAGAGTAGAGGTTGTCCTATACCGATTCGGCAAGCCATTCTTATGCCAATAAAGGTAACCACTAACAAGCTAGAAAAGGTCCTCATACTGAGCTAAAGCTAGAGCCATGTAGCCCTCACAGCTGTACTGTAAGTCTTAGATGATCACTTACAAATAAGTGCTTAGAGAGAGGAATCTGAAGCATTTAGAAAGTAGCTAAATACTCCAGCCCTCTGTTTCTAAGTTGCTAAAAAGTCATGTTTTAATGTTTATTGCATATACCATTAGTCAAGTTACAAGATCATGGTTTAATCGAGCACTAGCAAACCTACCCAATGCAAATCCCATAGGAGACAAGGTATAAGTTCAATTCTAGGAAATCCTTATCAAGGTGACACATGCAACATGAATTAAATGTATTGAAGTTTATAGGAAAACAAGGATGATCCCATACTATACTTGCCTTGAACATAGTACTCTTGCTGATCTTGCTCGTCAAAATAATACTCGTGGTCTCCCACGAATTACTCACTATCTATACTCAATAATCACAGCAATATACAAGCATCCAGAAGCAAACAAAAGCTATAGATTAGAATAGTACACCAATCCGCATAAAATCAAGATGAAAAGTTTGTAAAACGAATCTACATCTCACTACGAACACACAGACGCGAAGATCACAAAAAATCAGAGCTAAAACGAAGAAGTTATGAATTAAACAAGGTTTCCTTTAGTAAAATAATAGATTAAATCTAACCTTAAATTTTAATAGTTGGAAACATACTTAACAGTAGTATGAACACGTAGATTATGGAATTATGAACCTAACGCAAGTTGAACGAACCAAATCAGAGTTAAAACGAAGATTTTATGGTCTATAGAAGGTAGTGGCAATTCTGTAAATAAGTGGAACTTGATTTTTAAATTAAAATAAATAAAACCTGATTTTTAAATCTGGCCGAGGACTGTGGGCATTATTAACAGAAAAGGCAGGGGTCCTTTTGAAAGAAACCAGGGACGGCGGGTTGAGATCTAAATTGTTATAAGAGCCTTTTTGCAAAATTCACAGCGAAAGGGTATCATTGAATCTAGGTCGTTGGATCAGATTTGAGCGGCGTAGATTGGATCATGCGGGGAAGAGAGAGGGCTGACTGGCTGGAACAGGGCTGGTGCAACGGTCCTCCATGGACAGCGACGAGAAACTCGTCGATGATGTCGGTTTAGGGTCTACGGGCCACCGTTTAACGAACCAAAAGCACGAGGAGAAAGAGAGGACGATGGTGGACTCACCGAAACCAAAAATAGGGGCGGGGAACCGACGATGGCGTGCGGCAGCAGCTTGAACCCGACGGCGGCTGTGGCGCTAGGGCTACGGCGGTTGCGAGCTCTAGGCGAGGCGGAGGCTTGCTCTAGGGTTAGGTAGGGGAGCGGCGCAGGCACGGGCTCGACTTTTATGAGGGCCAAAGGCATGGGGCACGCCATCCGAGTGCATCGGGGCGGAGGTGGACTCGGCGGTGCGGTGTCCATGTCGGACACAAGATGGAGGAAGAAGATACGCCTAACATGCCAGGCCCGCTCATCAGCGACCGAGAGAGGAGAAGATGCACGGCGCGCTGCGCTGGGCCTTCATCTAGGCCGGATGCGAAGAACTAGAATGGGCCACGGGGAAAAGGAAAAGCAGGCTGCATGGCAAAGCAAAGGGAGCGGGGTTGCGCTGACTGCAGCACTGGGCCAGTGCCTGGCCAATGGGCCAGAAGCAAGGGAAAGGAAATGACATTCTTTTCCTTTTTCTAAACCAATTTCCAAACAACTTTTGAATACAAATTTGATTTCAAACCACACAATATAAAAATAATATGCACCAGCATGAATGCATAAACATGTAGGTAAACCTTATATTTGATTTTAATTTGGTAAAATTTATTATTTTTCTATGTTACATGCTCACACTAATGCGTAAATAAATCCAATTCACCTATTTTCAAAATGTTACAAATTTTAGGGTGTTACACACCGTGTACCTCTTGTTCTGGTTGGAGTGGGTCATATAATATGGTCTATGAAACCTAACGGCATAATCCATCAGGAAATACTTGAGATGCTCCAACATATCAAATACAATTTCCTTCTTAATCTCCACCTCCTCACTATCTGGTACCTCATCGGCCAACAACGTCAAACCGGTGTCACATATTGCCTCGTCAACCATATTAATGTCTATGAAATTTGGTACTGAGGGTACCTTCACATGGATAGCCTTCAATTGCCTCAATTCGACGTGATTGTACTCCATTCACAATGACCCATCAGCTGGGACTCCTATTGCGTCCGCAAACCCTCCCACACAACAATCACTTTCGTCTTCGCTACTAGGCTTGGACCTATACTCGTCCTCCAACACATCATCCGAAGTATTTGGCCCCAAAGTCAAGTCATCTTTGTCCGCGGAGGCAACATCAACTTCGTCATCCTCCGATCCTTGGGATATGTCATCCATATCATGTGTTCCATCTCTGTTGCCATCGTCCTCATCAAATGTTTCTTCATCGAAACCATCATTCAAGGCACCGGGCTCACATGAGCTATCAACTTTTCTAATGACAACCGCCTGTAATTCTTCGTCTTGGGTAAGGTTCTCTATGGGCTCCATATCCACATTATCATCCACAGCCACCACAATTGGGCAACCCCTTCTCCACAACAACTTCCAAGCACCTAACACTACTACTCTTGACAACTTCTACATAGTTCTTCCATTCACCCTCACATGACAAAGACATCAACACATAGTGTGCTCGTTCCTTCCCATAGTCAAATCGACCTCTCAATCTTAGTGGCCACCCAAATTTATCCCGGCATTGGCTAATCAAACCATCAAAGGTAGGAGGTGTACTAAAGAACTGAATATGTTCTTGCATGCTTTCAAACTCCCCATTTCCTTTAACTTTGCCACCATAAAACGATCGCACTAACCAATCCATCTATAAAATATGAACGAACACATCAATAACACATGAACTACATATTTCGGAAATAAATCATATCCATTCACTAATACACTACAATAGGTCCATGCATCAACTATCTAGGTCCATGTCAACAAAGGCAACACACTAACCCATCCAAATCCCCATGCATCAACTACCTAGGTTCAAGCAACACTTAGCTTACGTCGAATCCACGGGAAGAGTATATCCTAAACCTATTCAACGCAGCAAATTTTAACAACCAACGTTACAAACATTCATAGCCTCCCAATTTTCCTAACCCTAGTCAACCAAGAAATGAGCTAACAAATCAAGAAATCAAGGACATGGAGTTTTACCTCGCAGTGTACTGCACTCCACAGAGCTGGGACGTCCACTCGCTAGTGATGGGAAGTCGGCCGGCGGCACCGCCGCGCCCAGGCACCAAGGCGCGGCAAGCCTCCTAGGTCACGCCCTATTCCTCCATGGGCGCCGCAGGAATGGAGGGAGATGCAGAGGGAGAAGGAGGGAGATGGTCGGACTGGGAGGGGGTGGGGTGGCGTGGTGGCGGCGGCCTGGGCGCGGTTGCGTGGCGGCAGCGGGCAGGTTTGCAAGCAGGCAGGTGAGAGCGAGAGAAAAAGAGAGAACAGAAATGGGCCAGGCCGGCCAAAACCTAACTCGCCTTGTCACGCCAGCCCGCCTAGCGCGATATCGCTGTCGCGCCAGACTCGGCGCGACAGGACGGGGCCCATGCTTCACCACGTGAGCTACGGTCAACGTCGGGTGCCATCGTGGCTCCAGCGCATGTGGCGACGGCGTGGTACTGTCACGCCAGCCGCGCTGGCGCAACCAAAAGGGTCAGTTTGTGCAAATACTTTTTTATTAGTATTAAAATATTGATTAAAATTGGATTAAAAATAAAAAAAATTCCGAGAACTGGAGAGGTAAATAGTTGGTCAGTGTTTTTTATTCTCATTCAAATTGACGGGATTCATGCAGAATGGTATCTGATGCTTAACAAAATAAATAAAATTCTCCAATTCCATATTTCCATACGAGAAGTTAAGATAGGATATCATTCAGCATACACATATTTTCATTCTCACTTGCAGGAATTATGTATGAGACCACAGAACGAAACCAACCTCAACCTGTGTATCGGCAATTATGGTGTGACTGATTGGATGGGCTGCATTAGAAAGCACCCTTTGGGATAAAGGAACAAACTTGTTTTCTGCAGGTTGATTTTCCTCGGAGACTCTTGTTTCCTCTCTGAAATGTGGAAAACAAGTGGGAAAAAGAGAATAAATATCATACGATAAATGTGTAAAATTTCAATAGATAAATAACCAGAAGTCTGGAATTTCTTTAGGTATGTCTCCAGAAAACAAACCAAAACAAAGGGTAGAGCAGCTTACTTGTAGTCCACGTGGCATGCAGAGCTCGTATCTGGATGAAAGTCCAGTAGATAAATACCATCATATGATGAAGACCCAACTGCATAAATCTGGACAAATTCGTTAACATCCAGGCAACTTCTCAACAGTAATCAGGAGTGCATCATTCAGCATTCATAAAAACTTTTTGCAGGTACTAAAGTTTAGTGTACTCTGTAATATTCTTACCGAAGACATTGGCAGCCAGGTTGGCTTTCTTAACTGGTTTTGCAGCACCAAGTCTGTGCTCTCCCTAGTAAGAGAAAAGGAAGAGTACCTCAGAACAGGCATACTTAGCAGGATACTTACAACCAAGCAGGAGGAGAGCACTGAAGGTGAGTCACATTGAGGTCGTTAACATTCAGGACTCCAACCTAACATGAGATGTGCATAGAAGAAATTCATTGAGATATACTCCCCCATTCCACACTATAAGTCGCTTTGATTTTTTGGTACATCAATTTTACTATGTATTTAAATATGACGTATGTTTAGATACATAGCAAAATCTATGTATCAAAAAATCGGTGACTTATAATTTAAAACGAGGGAGTAATAATCACTTAAATGGGTGGAAGAGTTATCATGGGCTAAATATGGTGACTTGAAATGATCATAGATGAAAATTTCTAACAAGAACAATGATCCTTAAAGGGGGAATCGGAGATACATGACAGCCATCGTCAAGATGGAAGGCCAATTGATATGAACAACTAGGGTCGAAGTCTATCAACAGAATTGGACTTGAAACAATGTTCGATTGTTCCTGAAAATATCAATGCCAGAACAATGGTTTAGGTAGGTGTGGGCTTTTAGAGATACTTTCGCACGATTTTAGATCAAGTACCGGTCACATAAATTAGTAGTAGAAAAGTTTGCTATACGTGATTTTAATTGGTCTAGCTGATTCCCTTCTATATCAATACAAGTTCGGTAGAGATTCTGCCGACCGTTTCAAAAAAAAAAAGGTCTAGCTGATGTTTGATATTTGATACACCATTTTGATTGGTAGCTCGAAGAGATACTTTAGCACGATTTCAGGTCAAGTACGGGTCACATAAATTTGTAAGAAAAAGTTCGTTATATGTGCTTTTTTATCCTCCCACATGGTATTGTACTTGTTAATTGATGCCTTTTGATGTCAGCATGTAAGAATTTACGTAATACAAGACTGCCCATTACAAAACATGGCTGAGGCTGCCACGGAACAAGACCACCCATTGGTCCTGAAGTTGCACTGAGTCACCATAATGCTCATTTACGAATTCAAATGGCACCTGTCCAGCAGAACAGTTCCATTTGACTTTATTTTTGCCAAGACCATTTGCACAAGCCAATATACATTTACATCTTCCTATGTCAGTATATAGATACTGTCATACATTTGAGTCAAAACCTACACTTGCACTGCACTCCCTGTCAGGTATTCAGAGATACCGGGTGCACTCCAAAAACGCGAACGGCTTAACAAGGCAAGTCTGCATCCGTCGCAAAAGAATACACAAAAGAACACACATCTGAACTAGAAATTTCACTCCCTCTGCGAGGAACTGACATTGCACACTCGGCACAAGCTAAAACCAGATGACTCGACAAGTAAAATTGGAGAAAACACAGAGCTAAAGGGAGAAGCAAGAATTTACAAAAGAATGGCTCGTTGAGCACTCTATTACCTCAAAAATAAAGAGCAAATGCACCACAACCAGAAAAAATTGTAGGCCGCTGCTGCTGACTGAAGCAGGTGGGTGCAGGTTCATTTGTTAACTCACTTGCGCGCAAAAAATAACAAGCAATCACTGTAATCATAATAAGTATCCTTGCCAACTTGAGTTGATGGATAACTCTACATAATTGCACAGTTGCACTTTGATTCGATCTTTGGGGGCTTCATGCTGCCTGATGTCCTTGAAAATTCAGGAACTGACCGAACAAGTACAGGATCTTTAGCAACCACTTCCATTTTGTCAGTTTCTGTGACTGTTTCACCTTCTGATCTTTTCCTATGTCTTGGCGTTCGTCTGTGGGGTGGTTTCAGTGAACCATCACTCCTTGGAATGGATTGTCCTACCATGGTAACTGTTGGGCGAAGAGCAGAAGCAAGTTCTGATTGCTGCTCATGCTCCAGTCCAATTGTCGCAGCCCTGTATGCAATGTCATGTGCAATGGAACTGCAGAAGAGAATTGTATCGGTAGCCTCTTCTAATGTGAAGCATCTCTGAGTTTGTTCTCTTGATCCCTCAACTGTAGCCAGTGATTCTTCGAAGGTCAGACATAAATCAGTGTTATTGTTATATCAATTGACAGCAACAAATATGGTAATCAAATTCAAATGAAAACGGCAGCAAAACAACAGTGATGTAGACAGAAATGCGTATAATTGACTTAGTTGGCACTTTAAGCAGAACAAAAATGCATTACAATCAATACCAAGGTTACAAAAGTCCTAGGCGCTAAGTGAGTGATGACCCTCTGCCTAGAGCTTAAGCATGTTTAGGCATTCCTAAGCATTTTCTATTGTAGCAAGGCTGAACAGTACAATTTTGGAAATCAACATGACACGAAGCAATCTATGTGGGCAGGCTAGCATGCGAAGAAGCAAAAAAAGCAATCAACGTAGGCAGCCCAGCACGTAAAGAAGCAATCTAGGCTGCCCAGCACGCCCATGGACCTTTCAGCCCAATAAAGGGCCCATTCAGGGGTTTGATTAAAGGTATGGCAAAGTGTTTTGAAAAAGTCGAAAAAAGAATTCAAATTTGTAACTTTTGGATTTAAAAAACCAAAAAGATGAAATCCCAATTGACTCTGAGAAAATATCTTCTGTGTCTCCCCATTGAATCCATCACCTGGCCGTCCCCCCCCCCCCTTTCAGCCTTTCTCAAGCTCCCCACCCATGAGGGTTACTCCCCTGACACCCACAAATCCGATCCTTCCTCCCAGGACCCACAGCTAAAATCCTATCCCCCCCCCCCCAGGGCCCACAGCTCAAATCCGATGCAAAAATAGATTGCCCATTGCACGCATCCCAAATCCCAGCTTGTGTGCAGCAGAGGGGGGAATAAGGAGGAAGGAGCTGAGCAGGAAGGAACCAAGAAGGGAGCTCTCACCGTGGAGCCAACAGCCAAAAGGAGGGGTGTAGGGGTCAGGCACGCAGTGCATCGCTGGGAACTGACAGACACCTAGTTACCGTTTATACCTCAAGGCGATGCACTCCTCTGCTGAGCACTTTAGTGTGCCCAAGCGAGCACCTAATACTGCCTTTTGTAGCCTTGATCAACCAAGTTTAAGCACATGTGCAGTGTATTGTGTGTATGCAATCTCGCCCATACGTCTTATCTTTCCCTTGTATGTCATCTAAATCGAATATGGATACATATGCAGTTGTAGATTATATTCCTCTCTTCTAAATCTAGTACTAACTACTAAGTATGCATTGAAGATTCAAGTTTGTGTTGTGAAGTTGTGATACACCCATTTGAACGAAACCTCAAGAGCATATTAGATTGTATTATGCTCCTTCACACTTAATAACATAAAGAAACTAGTTTCTTGGTATTATGACCTTCAACAAATGAAGGGGGTATTTGGTTTGACCTAGATTTACACAAGCTTAGACAGCCATAGTTTTCTAGTCAAGTTATGAGTTATCTTTAGATAATATCTGCCTTGTCACACTAACCAACCACTCAGAATCCTTTTTTCTCCACTCTACTATGTACTTCCTCCGTTCCAAATTATAAGTTGCTTTGACTTTTTTGGTACATCCATTTTACTATGCATCTAGGAAAATAATGTCTAGATACATAGCAAAATGGATGAACCAAAAAAATCAAAGCGACTTATAATTTGGAACAGAGGGAGTACGTGAATTTGGTTGTAATACAACCAAGGATACAAAAAACAAATTAGTCAATTTTACTGGTTCAGTTCAGTATGGTGGGTTCCAATTAATTGCCATTAATAGTCCTAGTCGTCCCTTGGACTCAATTAGAGCAACCAGAAACCTGGTTGTCCGATTAGTCATCGACTAATCATGATTAATCATCGGATTAGTTGGATGACTAGACAGGCAGTTGCGAACTGGGCTACAGCAGATCACTGGGCTAGGATGGTCAAAGCCCAATAGGGTTTCTCTGCTTTACCACTCCACCCGCATCCCCAGCTGCCAGGAGCTCGTGCACCCATTGCCGGCCACCGGCGCAAGTGCACAACAATCCCTGCTGCCACCGGTCTTTCCCTCCTCCCTTCTAGCCTTCCCAGCTGTTGTGCCTCCTCCCTCCTGCTGCTGCTGCCTCTCATCCCCACCTCACCTGTGCGGGGAAAGCTCATGGGGCACGAAAAGAAGCACCAGCTCTCTTTCCTGCCTCAACCAGGTCAAGCACTGCCGGATAAAGGATCTGCTCCCGCTGGATCACACCTCCATCAATCAAGGTCCAAGGGAGCAAGAAGATGAGCTCCTCCTCCAAAGGCTAGTCATTGCTTGGTCACTCCTCTCTGCAGCTTGTCTTTCCTTGAAGCTTGATGCTGTTTCTAGTAGCAACTGTGTCACACCTCTAGTCTTGATGCTTGATTTATACTATATACGCTATAGGTCCTGGTATATACAGATGACAAGGACTGAGTAGGGTCGACTAGTCGCCTGGTCGGTACTATGGCGACTAGGGTCGACTACCGTTAATAGCATTATTGGTAACCATCGACAACTGGCTGGTTGCTGGTACTATTTCAGTTCGCAATTTGTATTTAGTTCTTTTTACACTTACATCCTCAAAATATTGTGCTTGTTTTGTTTTTGATTTGACAAGCCTTGACACTAAGACAACATCAAAAAAGGTATGCAATCAGCTTGTGTTGGCAACAAAATCACTTGAAAAGATGCTGCTCCCTAACTCCCACGTCCAAATATTGAAAACAGAAAATAAGCGCTATTGAAAAGTCACTACAATACCAAAAGGAGCCTATTTACAAAAAAAAAAAAAATTGTATATGTTTAGAAGGGCAGGCCTGGTGCAGCGGTGAGAGCTTGTCTCACTGAGTCACCAGGTCGCGGGTTCGAAGTAGCCTCTCCGCAGATTTTGTGGGGGGAAGGCTTGCCTTGGTTTTTCCTTCCCTGCACTCCCCACTCATGTGGGAGCCTCCGCACTGGTCTCCCCCCCCCTTTTTTTGTTTTTCAATAAGGATGTATGATGTTCATATTGAAAATGCTTAGCAATACACATCATTTGATGTTCATATTGAAAATGCTTAGCAATACACATCATTTGCAAGAATACTAAGAACATGATAGAAAACCAGAACTTTTGGAGCTAACAAGTGAGTACAAAAAGTTAGCAAGCCATGATTACATACCATTACCAGGAAGCCCCATTATGTTGGCCTCTGCTGCAGGAATCAACACATACTCCTCAGAGATGACAGACACACAACCATCATCCAACCTATTTGCCTCATCAGGATCAGGAATTGTTTCATGCTGCATTCGGTAACTATTGATGCCACAATCATCATCTGGGTGTTCTGGAGTGCCAACTGAGGTACCTTCTTCAATTTTCTGTATGCAACTTTCCTCAGGAGCCAGAGAGAGTGGGATATTGCTACATGTTTCGGTATCTGATGAACATGAGTGATCACTTATGTTATCTTTGTGAGCCATCCTACCTGTACATTGTTTCTGAATCACTACATCTTCAGTTGAACCAATGTCAACATTAACAATAGCCTGTGCGGCAGACCAGCACTCTATAGCGCTTGAGAGTGTGTACTTACACGACTCATTAAGTTCTTCAGTACAAATCATGGTTCTTGGAACACTGCTTTCTGAATTGTCAGTTAGGAAGCCAGTATCTACAATTGTATCACCCCGAGGACAAACTGAAACTGAACAAGTGCTAGTTGATATATCTGACATGGATGCAATGCTTTTACAACTCATGGTACTACTTATTTGAGACTTCTCAAAGTCATGACGATTACTACTTTTAAGGCGTTCCAAATGTCCAGATTGCCTTGTAGACCCTTGATCAATGGAAGAAGAAGCTGATGAGCTATCCAATCCAAAGGTACGCTTCAGCGTACTGACACCATCCCTTGTATAATAGGGTTCCGAACAGATAATGTTTGTACCAGCTAAGGGTCTCCCTTCTATAACAGGCCATTTGTTGCTGCTTGACTTCTGCAGCAAAAGTACTGAAATCCCAGCACCCTCTGTATTTTCAACCTTTAGATTTGAATGCCCAGCCGATCCCTGTTTACAAGAACTGTCAATGGTAAGTGTATCAGAGGCAAATTCAATGCTTTGATACACTGACCCTGGCAGGCATTGGAACACCTCATTGTGGTGGTTGGCAGTTTGATCTCTTAAATTATCACACTCAACTACAGATGCTGGTTCCGTTTGTTGATGATTATTTATGCTACATTGATGGGATGAAATATCGAGGCTATTTCCTCGGGAAGAGTTGCCAACATCATTTGGCCATAAATTTTCAGTAACATTCTCTCCATGCATTCTGTTGGTTGTATCCATTGTTGACTGGGATTGAGGACACTTTTGCAGACAATCAGCTGGAGGTTCATCATTCACCAGCTGACTGTCAAGAGATGACTTCTTGATATGTTCAACATGATCTGGAGTAATGAGAGGAGCTTCCAATGCAACACAAGGTTTAGAACTTCTGTAGTCTTTTCGATGTTCTTCTTCCGAAGTCTCTATCTTGGGGTCCACAAAAAGAACCTCATCTACTAAACCACATTCTTCACAGAAATCAACTTCTCCATCATCTTCTATCGCATTAAATAACTTTCCACACCTAGTGCATGTTGCCATTTTAGTTTGCCCAGCCTTAGAACCACTTGCGACATTACATGAAGTCTGAGCTATTCTACTTCTTTCCATATTGAGGCCCTCTATGTTACTTTCCGCATATTTTTCTGTGGTTGGAGATTTTGGGCCACTTTGAGTAGCAGACAAACTGTGCTGATGACCACTGAATCCTTCATCCAATTGATCAAACATAAATATATCATCATGAATCAAGGAACTAGGTGTTGCTTCACAGTCACCGACTATATCACTCGGTTCTTGTTCATTACCCATACAAGGGCTAAAAGTGACACCATGGTCAGAGCTTAAATTACTGCTTGTTGTGAGTGAGGAATTATGTGACAACATAGATGAGTGTACATTATCTCCTTTGCCAACACCAAATGTCGTGCAAGGAACACTTGATAGAAGTGGCCTGAACTTATCTTGAGGAGCTTTGCGACGATCCTAGAGAAGGGTATAGCATTTTGTTATATTGCGGACAATCGAAAACATCAAACAAGAGAAAGGGCTCTTGCTTGCATTAAAAGCAAACTAACTGCAAAAATAGATTAGCCTAGGTGCATAAGAAGTGCAGTTCTACAAGAGAAGGTACAATGAACATTGAAATGACTACAGAATAGTATATGACATGTAATCATGTACCAGATCATTAGGAGCCATCAATACGACTGATCAAATACAACGGTGGCCTCAAAATACAAGAAAAGTACAAGTCATCTCTTTGTTTCAACAATCATGTGAAGCAAAGGCAATGACAACATACTTTCACGCGAAGGTGTAACAAAAAAATATAAGGATAGCAAACTTTTTCAACTTACTACATGAATTACTAATTGGCTCCTAGGGGGATTTTACCATGCAATGCAGAACAAATATTACATCATACTAAAAGTAAAAGTAATGGAACAATGCTTACCATCAACCAGACTGCAGAATCAAAGGACCTCTTTGGAGCAGTCTTGGACGGCTTCTTAGGTGATGCAATAGTTCTGGATTTCATTACTGACAAGTTCTTTCTTAGGGCTGGACTACTGGAGTAACTAATTGGCACAGACTGCATAGACTCTAGATCATCTTCAGCAGAAGATGTTGCAGATGCTTTGCTGTACGAGCTGAATCGATCATTGCTATGCGATGAACTGGCTCTTCTTGATGGAGTGGGAGACATAGATTGCCTTCTACCTCTCCAATTCATGTCCAATCCACTGAAAGATGAAGGAGATCCACCCCTTGAACGGGATACTGGACGATCTGACAGAGATGTGCGTAGATTCGGAGGTGCGTCAAAAGAGAAACCAGGGTCACTTGATTGCCAACCTTGAAGTTTTGGCGAAGATGGCCTGTTACTGGTTTTAATAGGCGAAGTTCCTCCTTTTCTGTTTAAAATTGGGTCACTTGAGCCAGTACTCAACCTCCTTGAAGCAGGACTTGGTGACCTTTGTGGAGGGGTTGATGTCTTAGAAGCTGGAGGAGTTGAAGACCTTCGTGATGGTGCTGCTGGTTGCAAATGAAGGGCAGGGCTGCTTCGTGAAGAAGAATTTGATGATCGAGTCCTTGTCAACACAGTGCTGCTACATGAGCGTGGTGATGGGCTAAGCCTACTTGGGCTTGCACTGCTTCTGTTAGACCTTCGAGTATTTTCCATCTGTGTAAAATCAGAAAGGAATATTCACACTTCAACAGGTAGGTCTTGTCAACTGAAAATTATGAATGCAGGAACATGTCATGAGGTGAGAACTCACTGTGGATGACCTCGAAATTGATATTGGCTTAATCTGCGGCCTGCCCCTATGAGCCATACCAATGCGCTGGTCTTCTTCATCATCCAATGAACGAAAAAGTGGGGTCTCTGGTGGAGTCAACAACCTATTAAGCCAAAAGTTAGATGGTAGACATGTGATGGCTTACATTCGACATACAAAATGCCAAATTGCTAATAAAACAATTGACAACTTATATGGTGGGTGGTTTAGGCCCTGGACCTCAACAGCAGTAGACATGGAGATAGCGTGTTGAAACTCAAGTTCCCTAACTTAATGAACAAGGCAAAGCCAGACCATGCCACCAGCCCTAGGCTGAGCGGCCCTGGATTCAATGCCAGCTGTAGCTGCCCCTGGCCACACACATATACCCCACATGACACAAGCACTATAAGTAAGTGGAGTCTTACTGTTTTAGAAAGGACAAAAGTCAATAAGTCCAACAAAACATGTGAAAGGTACAGTCTGCAAGCATCAGAGTTCATAATGATGGTTGGGACCCTTGCATCATTTTTTGTGTGCACTTCAGATGAGAAAAACCTGAAACTAACTAGACGGGAAAAAAGAAATGGAAAACTAGCTCATGAAGCTTCTTGAGGGGTACAGGAATCACACACCAATCAGAAACCGTTACTCAGCAGAGATGAGATGTTGGGCCATAAAGCAACTACTCGACAAGAAAACAAGCACATGCCATGTTTGCAAAAAAAGTAGAACTCGATTATCCATATAAACTTATTGTATGCCAAGAATAAGCAGAACTAACAAGAGAAAGATTTTAACAATAGGTTATTGTTTGATAGTATTCAGATTGATAACTGCTTTTCGTTGATGAAGCGCCTAGGGCAATGTGGCCTAACCGATCTAATTATGTCGCCTAGCCAGCAATTGTACAGTGACAGGTAAAGGCATCTGTTCCTTTATATGGCCTGATAGAATAGTTGTAGACCGAACAAAAGCACCAATCTTACAGAGAGAATGCTTAGTGAGGAATAGTAAAAAGAGTGAAATGCACTAATGGTCTGGCAAGGTGAGTTCGCTCACGCAGGCAAGGCTAGGCAAAACTAGCCTGGGGACCGAACACGCCCTAGGTCCCTGGACTATTAATTTGCAGTTTCACCTCCCTGAATTTGCTAGCAGATTCTGCAGAGATCAAAACCTTCCCTCCCTCTCCCTCTCTGAACGTCGGGGTGGCGCGGACTAAGCTGCTCCGTGGCTAGTTTCTTGCACATCAAATAAGGAGTGCCTGAGATTACTATATGATTTTATTACATTCTATGCATTCATACATCATTGTTAGGCAACTCATTCTAAACAATGGGCAGGAATCATCAATGAAGGGCAAGGAACTGTCAAGGAACACTCCCCACTCCCTGTCTCTCTCCTACAGTAAGGGGTGCTCCACTTTAGGTGGCACAGCTCCCGGCTCATGGCGAGGGCCAGGACCCCAGCCTTGCACCTCTCACGCATCCCATCCATTCTCAGATCTTGTATTTTGTTCTCAAAACGCTTGATTTTAAGAGCAGTATGCATCTGATGTCAGGAGTCTGACGATGAGGATCTATCACATCTGATCAACTACCTATGCCAGTAAGCCACACCACATAATGAATCAGACGACTGAGCAATTTGTAACTAGCTGCTTAACCACTGAAAATCGTATGAGAGAGTCAATTTGTACTAAACATAAGCAATAGATATGACATCCCTCACATTGCTCCACAAACTATAGTAATCATTGAAATCTTAAACTTCCAAAAGATACTATATTTGTTGAAACTAAACAAAGTAACATGTGTATTAAGCATGGAGCAAAACAAAGAAACATGTGCTATTAAGTGTGCATACCAATCGTAATCATTTCTTTCACCATCAGCATTAAGCAAATCACGGTTTTCTCCCCGTGCAGCAATGTTGACACCAAGCTTTAAATCCCGAAAATAGCTCAACTTTGCTGATAAACAGGGCCAGAAATAAAAGAACAAACAGTACATATCAGTTAAGTGTTGGTGAAAAAAAAATCAGTTAAATCACAAAGTTCACACTAGGTACAGTGTGACAAAAAACTGGGGGCAGATTACAGCAATGATATTTATGAGCCTTACAGATGGATTCATCAAAATCCTCTGCTGGTTCCATTAAGAAGTTATCCCTCTCATGTTTCTGCATATCCTTGAACAACGTGAGTTCATCATCCTTCAATTTAGCAGGTAGAATACTCACAAAACTATGCCCCCTTGTGTGGGAGATTTCTTTCAGAGATCTCCTAGGTGATGGTGAGGGGGGCATCTTTATAGTCTATTAGTCTCGCAAAGGGAGTATAGCTATGCTCTTTCTTTTTCAGATATCAAACTGAGTCCATAATAGTCCATTTGAAGTATCTGCAAATAGGCTTTTGTTAGTAAAGAACATAAACAAAAAATGCTCCAAAATTCAAAAGGCATTTGACATGTATCCTTGTGAAATATACGAAGAGAGTTGCTGACATTGCAAACGGGGGGCAAGAAATGGAAAGTAATAAAAGAACTCTTGAGTTGTGAGCCACGCATTGCCCAAAGTAACCAAGCGATCTCACCACTGCACAAAATTATCTACCCAATACCTCATGCTAACATAGGTAGTACTACCTTTCTAGAAAGCAAACAAACAGGATGAACCTAATAAAAAGGCCCCCAAAAGGACCCTCAAAACTTGAAGCGCATCATAATTGTTGCACTCCAAAGCCCAATCTGCCCAATCCATCACATCCTGGACGAAAAGTTCCACCCAATCCAGAGAAAACAGCCAACCCAGAGGCATGTATCCAAAAAAATGTGTCAGGAAATCAAACCAGACAAACACCACACCACTGGAAAAGCTCACATTCAAGCCGACATCATCTCGCAATCCACAAACACCGCTAGCTGCATCTGGTGCGTCAACAGGAAGATGATCGAAATGATCTACTAACCTCACAATTATATTAAAGAAACCCTTAGGGGAAAAGAAAGAAGCATGAAACGTCTGATATTCACTTAATTCCTCAAGCAGCACCTTGTGTAATCAAAAAAGGTGCTCGTAAAAACTAAGAATTACACACTTCACTGAACAACAACACTCTAGGATCCACTATTAACCTACCGCAATAGCAAAACTCGACCGCCAATAACATCCCCTAAGCTTTCTGACCATAAACCCTCCAGAATTGAGTTAAAAAAAACTGAACCCGGAAAAATTGTTAGAAAATGAACTTCAGATTGGGGACGAAAAGACACCATTGTGCCATTGTGGAAGCTAATTCCAGTCTCCCGCGCCGGAGGAGAGGAAGAAGAACCTAACCGGGTCCTGAACGGATAGACGCACGCTTATCCACAGCACAATGCGTGCGGAAGAAGCAAGATTCGGTTCGCCTGGCGAGAAAGAAACGAAAAACTCCTAGACTAGGAGGAGGGAATCCGTCCAGGCAAAGCCCGACCAGGAATCACTTACCAACAGAGGAAGAAACCAATCCCCCGACTCCCGGGTGGATCTCTCCGCATTCCACTGGGCGGGCGGGCGGGCGGAGGAGCGGCGCTCGGCGGGGAGGGTGGTGGAGCGGGAGCGCGGAGGATCCGGCGGAGGAAATGGCGGCGGGTGCGGCGAGCGCTTAGACTGGAAGCGAGAGTGTTAGGCTGCCGAGTGGAGATCCCCCCTCTCGCGCTCCCAGCTCCTCCCCTCCTCCCCGGGCCTTCTTCCCTGCAGTTTCCCAGACAGAGTGCGCTTCCCTCAGTGGCTACTGGCTATTGGGCCTTCGTGCCTGCCGCCTTTCTTCCCCGTCGTGGGAGCACAGTGGTAGCTGGGCTTCCGTCGCTCGCCGCCGCCCCTGCGGTCCGCCTCCTCGGGCCCCGCTGCCGTACCCCGTCGCCGACTTGCTCCCTCCAGGGTCCAGGCCAAAGCTCCTTCTCCCCTCCCTGTAGCCTATGGGTCAGCTGCGGGTTTTGCAGGTTTGAGTTGGAAGCTTTTACCGTGTGCCATCGTAAAAATCGGTAATTATCCACGAGCCAAAAAAAAATTGTTTTTACATGTACCACTGCTCCGAACTCTTTTATACTCCACGCCACTTTGGTCATATTTGGCTTTAACTGGTGTCCAACTGCGGGTGTAAAAAGTCAAAAATACCCTCATATCCAAATATGTAATTAATTTTTTTAACATCTTAATGATTAAAAAACTCAAAAACTAGAAAGTTAAAGAGCTCATCGAGATCTACAATATTTTTATAAAAAATATTTTCATTTGATTCCGTATAAAAATATGATTTTTCTAAGACATTAATAATATTAAATCATATTTTTTTTGTACAGAATTAAATGAAGATAATTTTTATATAAAAATTGTAGATATTATCGAGATCTACAACTTTCTAGTTTTGAGTTTTTTCATTTGAGGTCATTAAGATGTCCAAAAAAATTAATTGTATATTTAGACTTGAGGGTATTTTGGACTTTTTCACAACCGTGGTTTGACACCATTAGAGTTAAATCTGACGGAAGTGGTGTGAAGGACAAAAGAGTTCACAGCAATGATACCTGTGAGAACTCAACTTTTTTAATAATTTGTAGATAATTATCGACTTTTATAATGGTGCGTAAAAGCCTCTTTGAGTTGGCGGCAGGACTGTCCAGAGGCTTTCGCTGCTGTTCTTCCCACTAAACACTGGAACAGTCTTTTGATGGCCATTACAGGTCATCATCATCGGAGCCATGAGCCTTCTAATTAGAACTGCGTGCCTGACGTCATCCACACGTACTGTGATTTTCATATCAGAAACTCATTACTGCAGCTCAGTTAATGACCATTTTCCTGTAGGAGACGTAGTTCATGCGTGTGGCCCCCACCATCAGTCTTTGGGCGATGTGAACTGATGGTATATATGTTAATGTTATAGTTTTGTCTAGCCACTACTATATGTGTTAGCAGATAAAGTGTGATGCTGTTAATTTTTAATGTAGTTTGCTTACACGGAGATCCCCATCACCAAAATACTGGCTTCATATATGACAGGATGCTTTTTTATTATGCAAAATTAGGAAATACCGACTCTATGCATAGAGGATCTTAACATTATTATGCATCCAAATAAAAAGTGGAGTGGGGGATGGACACGTGCTTATCCCATAAACAATGCTGTTCAAAGCTACGGAGTGGGAGATAGATTTAAACTAATTCCATTTACATTTGCATAACCATGGAAGGAACCCAACAGCACGTTGGTTACGATGACCTACTTATACTGACAAGTGTTTCACAAGTAATCCTAACTTTGAGCATTTGAATAGATCTCTTCGAAATGTAGATTGGTGTCAAACTTTCCTCAAACTAGTCTATCACTCGCCAATGATGGACAACGACCGTGCTCCAATTCTAGTTGTTCTACATCCCACCTGGCCAAAGTCCAAAGGAAGGTTCAAATTTCAAAACAGGTGGCTAAGTAGGGAGGATATTCATGATGTTGTTATCCAGACTTGGTTCCAAAATTCTAGTAAACCTATCCATCAACACACTAAGGCTTTAACAACTACTATAAAAATAGGTCAACAAAAAGAAACCTTTGAATTTTGAATCAACAGCTTCATAACATTGAGCAAGAGCTTTCTCTTCCATAGGGCCCGTTCATTTCGGTCTTCTTGCAAGTCTTTGATTTGGGTCGATCTGGTGCTGATTTTTTTTAGAGGAAAACTATTGGTTGGTTTGGTTTGTTTGGGTTTGGTTTGAAACCAACAAGCGAACAGGCTGATATGCTCCACATTAACCATGCTAAAGAATAAAGTCTACCCCAACTCCGCTTCCAGATCCTTTACACTTACGGTAGTATGAGCTTCGTTTAGCACCTAGTTTTAACTCTGATCCATCAACACACTAAGGCTTTAACAACTACCAAGAACGTTGGTTCATGTTCTCTTATTTTCTACTCCCTCCATTCTAAATTATAAGTCATTTCAAGAATTTTGGAGAGTCAAAACATCTCAAGTTTGACTAAAATTATAGAGAGAATTACAAAGACTTATGACATCAAATAAATAATACTACAAAAATATAATTAATGAAGAGTCTAATGACACATAGTTGGTATAATAAATATTATTATTTTATCATATAAATTTGGTCAAACTTGATATGCTTTGACTCTCCAAAATTCTTGGAATGACTTATAATTTAGAACAGAGGGAGTATTTCCTTTTTCCCCCTTTATATCGTTTTTCTGTTACTGTGTAGTGTACTCCATTGTGTATGCGTAATCTACTATGAATCATTGGGTAGGCGGGTGATTTGTATAGACGGACAAGGAACCAAAGCCTAGATCTCGAGGGATATTTTGGGAATAGGAAAAAGCGTAGAAAGGGATTCAGAAAGGCCAAAGACGACATACTTAATTTGAGCCGAAAACAAATATGGAGGACCAAATGACGGTTAAAAAATTTGAGAATAAGCAACCAAGTTGGACTTATGAAAGCTCTAATTTGATTTTAGATAATTGATGAAACTTATTTGACTAATCCTTAATCTAAATATATAGACCAGATAGGATGGTCCAAGGCCAATTGTTGGAGCAAGATGCAGTCCATGATGATGATGGTGGACATGTGATGATGATTAAGCTCTAAATTTGAAAAGAAAGAGAAAAATAAAATGGGATCAAGGCAAAGGTATATTTGATAGGGCCATTTTATTTTGCCACTCAAGACACCAAGTGGGTGTGAGTGGGTTTAGGATAGATAGTGAAAGGAACCATGACACCTAAGAGGGGAGTGAATTAGGCAACTTAAAACTCTAACTCTAAACTATGGTCGCTTTTTCTATTCTTAGCAAAACCTATGCAAAAACATAAACTATCTAAATGTGCAACTACGTTTTTGCTAGTGTGTTGCTATCTCTACCACAAAAGAAGTTATGCAAATAATATAAATACGGAAGCTAAAGAGTAAGGTAGAGATATGCAAACTCCCATCGACGACTCCGGTATTTTTACCGAGGTATCGAGAAGCGCGCAAGCTTCCCCCTAGTCCTCGTTGGAGCCCTCTCAAGAATCCCTCACAAGGGCCAAGCTCCCGGTCGAGTAAATCCATTGATAGCCCCGGGCCTTCCCCACGCGCAAGTGGGTCTCTGGTGTGCCTTCCAGCAAGCCTCTCCCGGACCACTCCCCGCCGTGTCTTCACTATCAAGCTTTTGGCTGAACCGCCGCGGGTCTTGCTCCCTTCGGTATACGGTGGCGGCCACACCACAAACATGGTTGGTGTGATCTCGCAAGACTACAAGCCCCTCCGATGTAC